AGAACACAGAACACCTAAGGAAGCATGAGGAGTCAGGAAAGAGAGCGAGAGTGAGAGACAGAGAAAGGGTTCGCAGGGTTGGGTATGGGGACAGAGATAGAACACTTGGGGAAGCATTGGTGGGGAGGAAGCACGGAGTACCTGGGGGTACATTGTGGGAGAGCACAGAGTACCTGGGGACGCATGGGAGCTGGGAGGGTCAGTGCTGCTCTAGGGGTTTCTGGAGCAGAGGCAATCACCCAACTTTAGGTACCTGGTTGTTGTCTTTCAACTTTTGCTAATTGGGCATGGAGCCTGGTGCCAGTAGGTTAGAAAGGCAAACAGAAAATTATACTTCCATTCAGGGCTTAGAACTTGAAACTACAGGCTGGGTGTGGTGGCTCATGCCTGTAATCCCAACACTTTGGGAGGCTGAGGCAGGTGGATCATCTGAGGTCAGGAGTTCAAGACCAGCCTAGCCAACAGGGTGAAACCCTGTCTCTACTAAAAATACAAAAAGTAGCTGGGTGGTAGTGGCATACACCTGTAATCCTAGCTACTGGGGAGGCTGAGGCAGGAAAATCGCTTGAGCCTGGGTGGCGGAGGTTGCAGTGAGCCAAGATCGCACCACTGCACTCCAGCCTGGGTGACAGAGTAAAATCCTGTCTCAAAAACAACACAAAACAAAAACAAAAAATCCATGAAACTACAGTTTCTGAGCGAAAACTCAAATGTCTATAGTGTTAAGCACCAACTACTTTACTAAATACTTTTTCATTAACAGCACTTTAACAAACTTTTCTGAACTGTTGCATTGGTAAGATTTGTCTGTCTCTGAAAGGATGCACTCAACATATATTAGACAGTGTGGTAACACACCTACATGATTGAGTAGGTTTATCATTATCCTTTCAAGAATCAAGCATATGAGTTAAAAATCATGTTAACATTTTAACGTCAAAAAATGAAAACAAGATTAAAATATGGTTATTTGATAATATATAGAGGAATGATGGCAAGGACCCATTTGTTCAGCAGCACCAGGGTCTTGTTGCACTGGCTGCATTTTCCCATCATGATTCTGGAAATGCTTTTTAGTGGGGCTGAGGATATGCTCTGGTTGGGAGCAGGTTTCAGCCAGGGCCTCACCTTTACTTCCCAATGTCTTCCACATCTTTGTTCCTTTTTCTGTTTAGTATGATGTCCTGGCACTAAGGACAGAAATGTGTGTGTGTGTGTGTTAGGGGTGGGAGAATGATACCCTAATGGGCACAGCAGATGACCATTACCATAGCAGATGTCATCTCACTGCTGGCAAAACAAACCAGTCTCTTTGAAGTGGCTGCTGAACAACCTTAAGATCTATGCAAAATACTTGATACCAGCTCTTGGCTCCCAATATAAAATTCCCAGTGTGGCTAATACCTTGTCAGTAAAACCCACACTAATGGTGTTTATTGCTTTATGATTTTTAAGGAGTCTATGCTAACGCTGGTGCTAGGATTAGGGGTTTCCTGATGTTAACCCCTCAGGCAACTGTGCCACTGTGGTCAAAGTGGGTGTTACTGGTGGTGGCCAGGGGTTATGCCCTTTGCCTATCAGTAACTGGAATCAATGCTCACTTAGTGCCCTAAAGATCTCAGATGGACTTAAACTCTGGGAAATGAATGTTTCACTGGCATTTTAAGACAAGTAATTGCAAACATTTCCTTGGAGTTATAATAACTTAAAAACAACTTGTCCTTTGTAAGATAAAGTAAAGATAAATCTGCTTGTTATAAACCAAGTTATCCTCTGCAGTTGAATCACACTGGGAAAGCTGTTCAAAGGATTAGAGTTGAATCTAATTTTAAAGGGCATTGAAAAGAAATTTAGATTCTTTGCTATCAAGCTGTGACCAATTTAGAAAAATAAATAGCAAACAGAGTCCTCACAGAGCAGACATTCTTTAAAATGTTATATTTATAGTCCCTATTTTTCCGTTACCAGAAAAAAATAATTTCTTTTAACTAAAATGGAATTCCAATGTATTCCTGGAACCAGGATCCATCGCCTCACTCTTTTCCCCAGGATATGCTGATACGGCTATGTAGAGGCAATAACATTTGGCCCCAACTCCAACCCAATGACTGCCACTGGTTTCCAAAGTCATATCACCCTGGGCATCCCTGCTACCTGAGAGGAGCCATTTGGTGGTCAAGCAAATTTTAGGGCCAAGATATGGAGTCATTGCTGAGACACGAACACTTTAGTTCCTTTCCTTCTTGCAGTAGGGTCCCACAGACAAAATTGTGCAAGCCTAGGTATTTTTCAGGCCCACATTCCCACTCCAGTCTGAATTTATCAGAGGAATCTTTATTTCAGCCAGAGAGATCCATTTTTGCTTTATCTCAGGAGTGAACTGGCCTAGTTCTCTCTGTCTGTGTGTGATTATGAGTGAGTGAAACATCTCCTTTCTAGCATGAAAGAACTAAGGTTTCCACTTTTTTTTTTTTTTTGAGACGGTGTCTTGCTCAGTCGCCCAGGCTGGAGTGCAGTGGCACGATCTCTGCTCACTGCAGGCTCCGCCTCCCAGGTTCACGTCATTCTCCTGCCTCAGCTTCCCAAGTAGCTGGGACTACAGGTGCCTACCACCACACCTGGCTAATTTTTGTATTTTTAGTAAAGACGAGGTTTCACCTTGTTAGCCAGGATGGTCTCTATCTCCTGACCTCGTGACCCACCCACCTTGGCCTCCCAAAGTGCTGGGATTACAGGCGTGAGCCACCGCGCCCGGCCAAGGTTTCCACTTTCTATGGAAACACATGGCAAATGACAACCATGATAAAGTATAGGTTAATTTACAGGGTAATGAGGGGAAGGGATCAAGATGCTTATTTAAATACATTGAATATTTTTATTTTGGGGTTTCTAAGTATTTATTGTTGAAATTAAACTCTGTTAATAAGTAAAGTCAATGAATCTAATAGGTTCTAAACTGAGCCTTTAGAAGGACTTTTCCTTAAGCTTAGAAGGGGAAAGTGTTAACCTAGCGTCAGATAACTGAGTAGCCCCATAACCTCATTTTGTGCTCTGACTTTTGTAATCCTATTATAGCAGATGTCTCAGCTTTGTTCCCTTGCTTATAAAAAGACAGAATGAAATGTTTCTGGCAGGAGAATCTACTGTGATACTAATTGTCTTTTATACTAATTGTCTTTATCACTAATTGTGATACTAATTGCTCCTACTCCCTGTGGCTGTAGGCGCCTGGAAGAAATAAGAGGTATTCTTCCCCTTCCCAAGGAGTTTGCCAACTCTTTGTGCTTTCTTGCCTCAGGGGGTTGCTGGTAGCTTCTGTTTAAGGACAAAAGCAGAATTTTCCAGGCACCAGAAAACACATTCCTCCCAAGATGGGGACAGAGAGGGCATAGGGGTGAGGAACCCAGGTTAGGAGAAATGAAATAGAAGTGGGCTAATACCAAGGTCTAGGAGGGCAATGAGCATTTTTTTTTTCTTCTATTCCTTTCCCACCCCAGGCATTCGGCTCTCAGCACTGGCCAAGATTCCCTGCCTCGGTGAGGCCGGAAGCAGTTCAGACACCTGGACTCTGGCAACATGTGAGCCTGACCCAAGCAGACCACTGGTGACCAGTAAATATTGAAGCTCCAAGGTTCTTCCTTTAACATACTGAATTAATGAGCCCCCTAGGGGCATCCCCTAAAATGACTGATATTTAATTTCCCTCTAGCCTGAATAAAGACTTAGAGCAGATTAAATTTGATTTAGAGAAAGAAAAAAGCAGAGTGACTTTCTTACAACTTAGTATTCTCAACTAAAATTCATACCCACAGCACACAAATACACACACACCACCACCCACCCATCCATCTAGCCACATACATGCTTTGGAGGATTTTGGAAGAGTGCTGAATGGCATACCATAATTTTTCAATTTGTTTAAATATTTTAAAAGTGATAGTCTTTTATGACTGGGTGCGGTGGCTCATGCCTGTAATCCCAGCACTTTGGAAGGCTGAGGCTGGTGGATCATTTGAGGTCAGGAGTTTGAGACCAGCCTGAGCAACATGGCAAAAACCATTCTGCTAAAATTACAAAAATTAGCCAGATGTGGTGGCACAGGCCTGTGATCCCAGCTACTCGGGAGGCTGAGGCAGGAGAATGGCGTGAACCCGGGAGGCGGAGGTTGCAGTGGGCAAAGATAGTGCCACCGCACTCCAGCCGGGGTGACAGAGCGAGACTCTGTCTCAAAATAAAAAGTGATAGTCTTTTAAAATGGGTTTACGGATGTAACTCTTCTGAAATAAACCAGTTAAGGCATACTGGTTTCATCCCACAGGGAGATGACAGCTACGCTGCAGAAGGACTTTGCCCAAGGAGGTGGCCCAGCCACTGGGGACTCAATTCTCTCCTTTCTGTGTTATGTAGTCCACGCATTTTGAATTGTAAACATCTTATTTGAGAAAGGCCCTTGTTTTATTAATGGGCACTCATAAACCTGGCTCATAGACTGAAATTGTGTTCATAACGCTAATGTAGAGAAATTTCAGAATGGCAAGGCCTTGCTTCTCCTGAGATCAGCAAAATGGTGATGAAAGGAGCTTTTGGTTTATAATCAACACTGAAATAAAATTCAAGCTCTGTTTCAAAGTTCCGATTCTGATTGGAGGCTGACTCACTCCACCATGACAGGAAATTTAATTTCAATACTTTCTTAATACTTGACTCCATTAAAACAAAGATTGAAAGCCAAAGTCAACTAGGAAATACAGCAAAAGTTTGTGAACTGAGAAGAATCTTCTGGCTGACACTGGAATAAAGCCCTCCAAGGGGGACTAGCGACCTAAGACCTAGTTACCATTACATCAGTGCCTGCTTCTACTTGGGGGAATAGTTGTAGTTTTCTTCTTCCTTGGTGTTATCCTCTGATGAAAGGTGCTCCAAGTCCATGATTTAAAAGCTCATGCAACTCAAAGCAAAGCATGTCAAGGCCGCACAACACATCTCCTAGCACCACGTACCGTGCGTAGTTACGCAGATGCTCTTCAATCAGCGTGTTAGAGGAAAGATTGATGCAGCTGCTGTACATTTCCTAGAGAGGTGCAATTAAAAATCATCTGAAAACATGCAACAAGCTCAGCACATGCACAAGCCCAGTAAACATGAAGCATGCAGGAAGACAGATTAGAGGACAGTGGCTTAGTATGCACTTTAAGGAGCATGGGCAACTGAGATGATTCTTCTTTTACTACTGAGTAGCAGAACCCAGTAAGTTACCTGGTAAAGTTTTATTTGAGTGACTTAAGTTTTGACACATTTGACCCAAAAGGTCTGGTGTTTTGGGCACAAGTATGCCTTTTCTAGCTGAAACAAACACATGATGTAGTCTTCTATAATAAGGACAATTTACAGACAAAATTGATTTATAATTTAAAATTTGGTGTTCAATTAGTTAGAGAAATACTCACTAAAACTTGATTTGGGTACTGCAAAAAGAATATGGACAGTTCTTAAACCTCATTGTAATGGGATTCTAACGTTTATAGCTAATGATAAATCACAAAGATTCTGCAGCTCCACTGGGTGGTTTATCTGGATCACGTGGAGAATGATCTAGGTCATTCCATTCCACAGAGAGTTTTGCATTTTGGCTGCTATACCATTTTTTAATGGCATGGCAAGTGCAAAGCTTGCAGGAAACATTGCCTAAAAAGATGTTCATATCTCTTATCCACTGGATATAAATCACAGATTATAGTGCATGGGTTTCCAATGAAGGCAATTATAAAATGTAGTTCATGGCATACTCTGCCATCCCCTGTGGACTGGCAAGCACTTCAGGTTCCTATAGGCTCCAATCAACACTTAGGAGTCTGTGTTGTAAAATACCTATGTGGAGGTCCCTGTGGTGTATTCATTTCAAAGGTCATCCCAAAGTTGTACAGTTAAGTCTTTAGAAACAGAGCATCTATTTATGTACTTTTTAATTGAGCCTGAGAATAAACTATCACATCACATGAAGAGAACAAACTCTTCCTTGGGACAGAATCAGTGCCAATGAAGGACTAAACTTGCACTGACTGGTGGTTTCATCTTGCAGAAATGCCTCCAAGTCTAGGATCCCTAACACCAAAAGATTATGCCATTTAGGGAAATTTAGGGATCAGAATATAATCTCTTATGACTTCTTTTTTAACATTTCTCTCTTAGAATATTTTCCAAAAGAAGAGCAAGGAGTATGTATGTAACATGACATGTCTCATTAGACACATGAATTTGGCTTTTCATGCATCCCTTTGGATTTTTTTTTTTTTCTGGGGATTCCCTCAAGGTAGCATGGGCCCACAATCTGTAGTATTAGGAACAACATAATCCATTTGAAGGAAGAATAAAAGAATAGTCTCCAAATAGCACTTACTGCCTTATTCTTTCCTTTGTTAGTGGAGCTGGCAGGGTTTCCCTTGGCATCTGTTGTCTTTCTCCCAAGTGAGGTCAAGGGCAATGTAGAGGTTTTCAGCTGGTTGGCTGCCTGGTAGTTATTATTATTGTTTTGGTTGCCACTTAGTGTCTCCATGATAGATCGAAAGGCTCCAAAAGGCCTTTTCAGTTGATCCCCTGATTCGTTACTTGTGGAGGTCCGCTGGAGAGTCCTGCCCTTATCTTTGTCTTTTTCTCCATTCAGTTCAAGGCTAGGCTGCTCCATCTGCACCACAGGCTCCTCAAAGGTAACTCTCAGTTTTAAGTTCTGAGATGTCCTGCGCTTGGAAGATGGAGACTTGAGGGCACTCTTGGGACTTGTGGCAACTTTCTGGGCAGCAGTGCTGTCAGGGTTGGGCTGTGGAGGGTCACCAGAGGGCTGGTTTGGAGGAGTACTCCCTGAGCCTGGATACTGGGATTCCAAGTCTGGTTCACTGCTCTCTGAGGTGGGCGATGGGCTATGGCCATCCAGGGATTTGGAGGTCTTGATGCTGAAAGGAAACCTGCGTCCCCCTGATGCCAAGGTGTGTTTCTTGATCATCAGGTGCAGGCTTTCTGCGCTGTCCATACTCTCTACGCTTTCTACAATGGGCTGTGGCCTTGGTCGGTCAGCCTTCCTCACTGGGGTATTCTTGGGGTCCTCAGAGTTGTTGGAGTCCGTGTCAGACTCACTCAGTGACCTCTGCATCAGCTGTCTCAGCCTGGCTAACTTCAGTTCCCTCTTCTCCAGTGGGATCTTTTTAGAATTTCTAGAGGAAGCCTGAGCATCCTGGAATTCCAAGGACAGTTTTTCCTGGGTGCAGACATTTTCTGAGATTTCCTTTCCCAATAACTGGCGTAGGATTTTATCAGAATCTTCGTCTTTTGCTTTGGGTCTAGCCCGGCTGGAGGCTGACAGGCTTCCAAGAACCTGAATCCCCTCTTGGACTCCTGGCTTGCTTTTGGCTACAGAATCATCATCTGCATCTGGGGATTTCCACTGGGACTTTCTGCAGGCAGGTGAGGATGGTGAACTAAAAAGAAGATGAAGGACATATGAGATGATTTCCTACTGGGTTGAAATGATTCAGCCACAAGTTGCTACATGGCCTTTACTGCCACTAATAATGTACAAGTAAATAAAAACAGAATACAAATAAGTACTTAATGTCTCTTCAAAACAATGTGCAAATACTCCATAGTATCAGCTATAAGGTGCCTTATGCCTTTGGCTATAACTACCATGACTACTAAATTTGTCTGTTTTACTGTTTATACATCAATTTTGCATAAATGTTCTCAGCTAATTCAATTTTCAACAAACTTATCGAGCTATATCTATATCTATATCTATATATCTCCTATTTCCACTTCACAGATGAAGAATTAAAAGATTCAATTCTCACAAAAGAGTAAGTGACTTGTTTATAGTTGTGGAATGAAAAATAGCAGAATCAGAGAATAGAGTAGGTCTTCAGACTCTAGGTCCTGTGCCTTTTTCACTGTGATTTCTCATTTTTATTCCACTTTATAAGAAGAAAATGTTTTCTGTTGTCATCCTCTTAAAATATATTAAAGGAAGTTCAGAAGAAGGCTTAACAATTTAGGATACTTAAGAATGCTAAACAACAATGTGCTGGTATTACCTGGGTGAAGAAGGGAGTGACTTGCCCTCTGATTTCTGGGCTTCTAGAAATTGTTGGAGTTGGTTCTGCAGCGTGACACGTTCTACTGTTTGTCTGGGAAAACAACCAAAACACATGAGGTTTCTGATACTGGCTACTGCTATAAATTAGGGAGTATAATTTTTTTCCTAATAATTTCCAGTAAGTTGCAATAAATACAAAAGCCTTAAAATGTGCATAATCTTCAGTTCAGAAATTTTCCTAAGGAAACAATCAAAAGTACCCCAAAAAGATATTTATTGCCAATATTAATGAAAAACTGTAAGTAACCTAAATGCTTATCAGTAAGTCTGAGTTAACAAATTATAATTGTTTCTACAATGACAGCTATTAAAATGATAATATGTTTGAGTATCTATGGACATAGAAAAAGTTTTCCTACTTATGTCTATATAATGTAGATATAAAGCATAGTTATATATAAATATGTATATATGAAGTATACTTTACTTTCATTTAATAAAAAGGAAAATTACAAAATACTATTTGCAGTATACAATCTCTGACTTACTATACTTTAACTTGTGATTTTTCAAATTTACAATGATGAGAAAGTGATACGGATTCAGTAGAAACTGTACTTCGAGCATCCATACAGCCATTCTTTCTCACTTTCAGTGCAGCAGTCAATACATTACATGGGATATTCAACACTTTACCATAAAGTACGATTTGTGTTAGATGATTTTGCTCAACTGTAGGCCAATGTAAGTGGTCTGAGCACACTTAAGGTAGGCTAGGCTAGGCTATGATGTTCTACAGCTTAGGTGTATTAAATGCATTTTAACCTTGTGATATTTTCAATTTGTGATGTGTTTATTGGGAACGCAAACCCATGGTAAATTTAGGAGCATCTATAACCTCATTTTTAAGAAAACTAACTCTCCATTTCCTACATGTGCATTTTTAAAATATATATATATAGAAAAATATGGAAGGATACACTTCAAAATGTTATATTTACTTTTCCTAAATTGTTTGAATTAAAGATTTTTTTAATTAAAAAAAATTTCAGAGATAGGGTCTTGCTATGCTGCTCAGGCTGGACTTGAACCCCTGGCTCAAGTGATCCTCCCACTTCAGCTTCCCAAGTAGCGGGCACTACAGATGTGTCCCGCCTAGTTTGACTTGACCCACATTCCTGTAAGATAAAGTTTATGCTGTTTTAAGCCACTAATCTTGTGGTAATTTGTTACAGAGCAACAGAAAAATAATTAAATATTTAAAATATTAAATATTAAATATTTAATTATTATTAATATTTTAATATTTGATTTAAAATATTTAAAATAATTAAATACATAAATATATTAAATAAATATATCATCAATGTTCTTAAAATGACTGCTGTACTTTAGATATTGGGTGGAGCAAGCCCAATGTTCTCTTTGTTGAGTGTCACTGTGTATACTCAGCAACCATTAGCTGCCTAAATCTAATTCTGTGAAATGGGATTCTGCTAATACCCTTATATAAGCCCCAAGCACTTTCTTTGTTTTTCTCAGAAGCTGTCAGTTTTATTCCAAACATTTCATCACTAAGACCAGAGAAGTCTGTGAACTCATTTTATCTGATTCATTCTTCCAGACTCACCTACTACATGTAATTGCCTAATGTGGGAACCTGCAAGCAAACTTTTTCTTAAAGGGCCAAATAGTAAATATTTTAGGCTGTGAGCTAAACACAGTTGTGATACAATTGTACCACAACTTCTCAGCTCTGCCTTTGTAGCATGAAATCAGTCCTACATGATAGACAAATGAATGTGAGTGGCTGTGTTCCAATAACATTTTATTTATGAAAATAGCTGATGGGCTGGATTTGGTCCACAGTCTGTAATTTGCTGATTCTGGTCTAATGAAAAAAATAAAAACTAAAAATACATAAAAACATTCTACTTTTCCCACTCTGCCAGCTGGTATTGCATGTCACATGTTTTTAAGAAAAATATTTATTGAGGGGATAAAACAGATGAAGAAAGATTAGAGTTTGCTTTTAAAGGGTTTATTATGTGTCTTAAAGTGAATTACGACACAGTCAAGAAAAATATTTTGGGGCAATTGGGTTGACTGACAACTTGAATCCCACGTATGAATGGAGAAGGAAGATTACTCTCTGGATTCTATAAAAGCTCTCAGGAAGAACTCATCAGCTCTAATTGTAGAAAAGAAAATATATGGGCATATGGCCACTGTATTAGTTTGATAGGGCTGCTGTAAGGAAGTACCACAAACTGGGTGGCTTAGACAATAGAAGTTTATTATCGCACAGCTCTGGAGGCTGGAAGTCTGAGATCATGGTGTCGGCCAGGCTGGCTCCCTCTGAACGCTGTGAGGAGAAGCTGTTCCTTGATTCTCTCCTAGCTTCTGATGGTTTGCTGGCAGTCTTTGGCATTCCTTGGCTTGCAGATGCACCATCCTGATCCCTGCCTTCATGTTTACGGGTATTCTCCCCGTGTGCATGTCTGTGTCTAAATGTTCTCCTATTATAAAGACTCTAGTCAAAGTAGAACTCATCCTAATGAACTCACTGTAACTTGGTAACTTCTGTAAAGGTGCTGTCTCCAAATAAGGTCACATTCCAACATACTTTTTTGAGGGGGACACCCGTAATACCTAGACTTGTTGATTAGCACTTCAGTAGAGCTGAAGGTTGCCATTTCTAAATATTAACTATGTTTATTAACTCTGAGGAGTTGCTGAAGGTTGGAAAAGGCACTCAAGATTATCTTCCCCCAGAATTTTGGACTGGGAAGACTAGTGTTTTCCATCCTCTCTCCTGTCCTTGTCTATGTTATTGGTGTCTGGAAGCCCGAAGGGCACAGTGTACTGTGGCTGTACCAAGTTGATTTCTCCATTCACTTCTAGCTTTGCCAACTTCACTGAGATATATAGTAGGTAAAAGACTGGGGCATACAATGTAGCCTCCTTTAGTTCATCTTGTCATTGGCCCAACTATAGCTGTCCACAGCATTCTGCTCTGGAGACAACTGAAGGACTACAGTCTACTAGTACATATGTGTACTTTATCCCAGGATCACCAACTGAGAAAGCAGCCAAGACTTTGACTTTGAGCAGTTCACCAGTAAAACAGTGATTGTAGCTCATGAAAATTTTGTAGATTTCACGCTATGAAGAAGGAGAATGTTTTGTGATCCCTTCTCTGAGTATGAACCTTTAGAAAAAACACTCCATTGGATCATTTTAAAGTTCCTCTTTACGGATATGTCCATACATTACTAGAGGGAGTGGACATTAGTATAGCATTTTTGGAAAGATTAGTTAACATCTATCCACATTTCAAATATGTATGCCTTTTGCTCTAGCAATTCATTTTCTAGGAACTTGTTTTTTGAAATATCTATACATGTTCATAAAGGCATTTGCACAGTGTGTTCACTGTGGGAAGATAGCTTACTGAGTTATTCATTTGTGTGTATTTTCCCTGTGATTTGAGACCTTGAAGTTTACCTAGCTCACCTAACCTGGGGAAGTTTTGTGTAACTAGGCAAAGGATGCTTGGCAGTAACCCCATTTTTTCAAGTTTCAAATTTTATTTTATTTTTTCTAGAAGTAATAAACTCATTAAATAAATTATTCTAGTATTGACAGGGGGAGGGGTAGAGGGCCACAGAGACTTGTAGCTCGAAAGCAGAAGAGTGGAAGAAGAGAGAGAAGGGAGATTTCCCCAAGCTTAGAGAAGAGGCTGAGGGTCCAAGGCCTTGTCATATTTTTGCATGGATCATAGTTAATCCAGGTCTTTCACCCAACCAAGGCTTTTTTCAAATGAACTGTATTCAGAAAAAAAAATGTGTGTGTGTGTGTGTGTGTGTGTGTATAAAACTTAAAGATAAGACTCTTTTCCCTCTAAAATTTAATTTTTAAGATTTACCCTCCTAATCTGTCAACATTACTTTGAATACTAACTGATTTTCAGGAAACCCTCCCCAATCTGGCAACTATGTTTAATGGGTGAGCTTTTCAAGGGCTGACCTTGGTTCCCCTCAGGCAGGTGCTAACTCATTAGTCCTTCAACTTGCCGGAGACCTACCTGATGACCTTTCATCTGAGACCTCTTTCTCTAAGCATATTATGACAATCTCCCAGAAATACTCCCCTGACACCCAGACATGCCCTGGTACCAGTTTAACAATCTTATCAAGGAAAGAACTGACTGTAGTTAGTCATGGAGCATTTTAATTAACTTCATGCTGACTGAGCAGTATTTTTTATTCTGAGGATTCATGAATCATCTGATTAATTTTTATAGGAAATTTGCTGGTGATAGTCACCAAGTTATTTATCTGTAATTTCCCCTACATCTTTTTCTTTTTGAGAAAACTGGGAAACTGGTCCATCTCTAGCCTTTTCCTCTCTCTCATGTTCTTTATGATTTCCTTAAATATTAAGGACAAAAGTTTGGAGATGATGCCTGTGAGTGCTTCCGGTGCTCTGTAATCTGGCCCTGATGTGTGAACACAAAGAGAGGCTCTCTCTCCTTGCCCACTGGCTTAAATTCCCTGCTTTGGGAACTTGCTGTACATTTTACTGTTTAGACATCATTTTGCCTCTGCAGAGATGGCATCTTCAGCATGAAGTCAGGCTGTAAGGACTTCAGATGGAAGAAGAACAGAAGAGGAGAATGCAGGAATTCCCTGTACAACTGGAAAGAAGAGTGCTCACCACAGCACTGGGCTGAAGCCTAAGTACAACAATAATGAGTTAGACTTGGTTCTCATGCAACCAACAGGCCACTTACTCCTTTAGCTGCTTGGTTAACTTCACCACCTGAGAGGCCAGCGACATGCAGGTCTCCACCACCACCAGGTACCTGGAGCACAGGGTGTGCCCCTGCCGCTCAGCGCTCTGGGAAGGCTTTTCCCCTGCGTGGTTCTGCATGGTGACATTTGCTCCATATTCAACCAAGGTCTGTCAGAAAATGAAGAGACATGTGTATCAGGGCATCTCTGTACACACGATTTTTTAATGACTGTAACAGAATGTTGAATAGTATGAAGAAAGCCTCTAGGGATCTTCCAGCAGTTGATATCACACACCTCCCTTCAGAGTCTATGATGACGTAGCAGAGCCGGTTCTACCACTACCAATGCCCACCTGCAGCCTACATAAGGAGAGGGCTGGGAAAGAGAGGAGGAGGCTGTCCATAGTGTGCTCTCCTTTATGAGACATGCAGCGCAGTCTTTGTGGTGGGGAGTTCTGCCTCTTGCCATGGTTGGGCTCCAAGAGAATCACTTATAAAGTCAGAGATGCCTGTAAGAGGGGAAGACTGGAATCTTACCTGTTCTTATTTGCTTGGGCTCTAGTAATTGGATTTGGTCTCTGGTAATTGGTTTTGGAATAACACCTGTTTATTTGTTGCTGAGCCCATCTGATCAGGAACAAAAAGAACGGGAGAGAAATGACGTGGCTGAGAGTGGGGAGGCTGTGAAGTAACCCCCACCCTCCCATGATGCGCTATGGTGAGGGCATGTCTGTGGATTGAGCAGGCTTTGTAGAAGAAAGCTTTGTGTGAGCTTCTTATCACCCTGTTAATGAGGAGAGGGTTCTCTGGCGACGTTTGGCAATAGGGTACCCCAGAGGTGGAGAGAACTGTATGGGGGAGGAGGGAAAGGCTCCAGAGGGCCCTCTGAAGACCCCACCCATGGCACTCACTGGAGAGTCAGCATTTAAAGGTTGCCACAGAGGGCATCAGTGACCACAGCCAGCCAAAGAAGCAGGGACAACTTTCAGGGAGGTTGCATGCCTTTCCCAGTTAAGCAAATAGACATTGGACTTTTTCTCTTCATATGTCCTCCTTATCTTTGACACTACAGCCCAGAAGAGAGAGGGGGATAGGAGCTAAAGTGGTGTGTAAAAAGGCATGTCTCACTCCCATTCCAAGTCCCTTGAATCTTGAGTCTAATCTGGGTGGGAAGGAGAATGCTTTGAATCAGAAGTAAGACTGAGATTTTAAAGTGGCTTGGAGTAAATTTTAACAGTCATAAGAAAGGACAAAGTTATGGAATCTGGCCAAGGTACCATTAGTTGTGGTGAGACAGAAATTTGATGGAGCATGGTTGAAATTAATAATTCAAAAAAAAAAAACCACATCCAAACTGTTTTGTGTCCATACTGTGATATTATTAGATTCCATAAAAAGTTATTACATCAATATTAATCAACCACTACAATCTGATAGATTCTTTGACAATATTATGATAAGATTGCAAACCCGGATTAATTTGGGTAGTAGACAGTATGTTCCCCTAAGCAATAGTTGTAGTATTTAAAATTTTAGACTACTTAGACTGGGAGGTCATCAAGGAGCTTCATTTTCCTTTTGGTTTATGATCACTCACCATGAAAGGTCAACTCACCACAAAGCCATTGCCACCTACCTCACAGGAGTGTCACAAAGACCATGTCAGTATTGAGCCCTCAGAGCTCTTGAAGAGATGCAATACAAACACACAGTGTTATTACTCCCCTTTGACCCTGACCTCTGCAGTTTTCTTTCCATTGTTTTCCTTACTCAGTCCCCTCCCTCACCTCATAGGGTCCCTTGCTCACTCTCAGTCTCTTATCATTTTTTTCTTTAAATTTCACACCCAGTGGACAGACCCCCTTCCAAGATTATCCAAGTGTCCACTTCCGTGATATCCAGTGCCAAAAATATCATTTGTGTGTAAGTGGAGTGATGAATGCTCTAAAAGGAAAGACTGTCTCTCTTCACATATTAAAAAGAAAAATAAGTAAAATCTCACATAGCAATATTCAGCTGGCTCTCTTTGGCTTTAGTCATTTCTTAGCTGATTAAAAGTTTGTTTCAAGACTATTAAATATAAGAGTGTTTTGTTAAATAGAAAAGCATATTTTTCAATGGTTATTCAATCATATTTCCTTTACTAAAAAATGCTACTCCTTTAATATTTCTGCAAAACCTGGTAAGAATTTAAATTTCTCTCCTATACTCTCCAATTTCATATCACGCTTTTTAAAACTTGATGCCTTAAATTAGAAGATGTATGCTTTGCCAACAATAACAGAAAAACTTTAGCTATCTGGACTATTTCCTATCAAGTTAGTTCTCCAAACAGCAGTTCCATGTGAGTAGGCACTCTAGAGAGATTTCTGTGTTTTCATAAATCTCTTGCTTTTTACATTTATACTTTCCCCATATATTCTCCTGTCATTTCCCAAGTCTCCTCTACCTTCCCGAGCAACTAGTTCTCACCTCTCAGTTTTCTGTTTTGGATACCATCTATGTTGCACCCAGGAGGGCCTCAGTAAGTACCTGTTGCATAACTGAGCACACTGAGTTTGCAACATAGGAAAATAACACACGTATAAGCAAAAAAACAAAACAAAACAAAACAAAAAAAGAGTGCTGCTTTCTTAAAGGTAGAAAATGTATTAAATGTTATATACACACAACATATTTTGAACGGTATGAACTTGATGAGGTAAAAGTCTTGTCTCTAATCATGACCTTCAACTATATGTTGTCAATTTCCCTATCCTATATATTATATAGATATGGGAATAAATTCACATATTTTGGGTCACTTTCAATGATAATAATGGTATAATTGATCTGATTCTGGTAATAATGATTTATGTCTGTAAATAATATTCTAGACCAAGTCTAAACTTTGACTTTGTTTCCAATTCAAAGCCTTTCCTTTCCTCACATTGTCGTGCCTCTTCCACCTGCTACTCCTCCTTCAGCTATCCCCTCTTTTTGCTCTGTCACTGAGGGCGTTCAACATTTTCTAGGTGGAAAGATCTATTGGGTCTTATGTTCACATATACTCCAGACACCTGGAGACAGACCCCTGGTGGGCTTTCCTGCCATGCACTACTTGGACGGCAGCTCCAGGTTTGGCCCAGCTTCATGCAGCCCTGCATTCAGCTGAGGGATGAGATGCCATCTCTTCTTCCCATAGGAACCCCACACTCTCTAGGGAGCTTTCTTGGAGCACCCTTCATGTGACTCGGGGCAGGGGGACGAGACTCCTTCCCCTCTCCTGTGGCTCAGCTCCCTAACTTTTTGACATCATTGTACACAATGAACATGACAATATTTAGAAGGCAAGTTAGGGTAAAAAGATAAGGCTACTTGACACTGTTGGGTGCAGTGGTTGGGCAATCAATGCCCTAGGTGGCCTGCCCAAGGGCTGAGAGGATCAATATCTGAATCCACTCCCACCAATTCTGGACTTTTTGAATGCATTTGAGAAGCTCAGTCCTACTACAGAGAAAGGGGGAACCACAGCATTGTCTCTCTAGTCTACAACTCCCTACCACAAAGAATTCTAATCCATTCCTGAAAAATCCGTCTTATTCTTCAAATACCTGGAAGGGTGAAATTTACTAGTGAGTGGAAAAGCAGCCTGCCACGTGAAAGACAGAGATGTCTGCCTGGTAATGGTTTCTCTGGTGCCTTGAGAACACGGGGAAATTTAATGTCTATTGTCCTCAGCACTGGGGTTTCAGAGCAGTGATAAGGCAGCAGGAAAAGTCCTTTTCAACACTCTGGGACACTGAAAGAGAAACTCTTAGGGATATTTATGCCTACATTTGTGTGGACCTCTCAAAATAATTCCTTATTGTCTATGACCATACAAAAGGTGAATTAATTCAGACATCCTCCTAGTGAACAGAATTTTAATGTTTTGTTTAATATTTGATATACTCAATTCTCTTTGCAAAATAGCAGGGCCTGTGTACCTGTATGCATCCAAGGTAGCCATGCTGTGAGGCTACGTGAACAGCGCTGTTGCCATCCTGGTCTACTTCATCCAACGAGATGCCCTGTTCTTGCATAAACTGAAGAAGCCATAGAAGAATCTTTTCCTATAAACACAAAGATAGTTGGAATTCATGTAATATCTTGCAGAGAAGTCAGATAAAAAGACAGAGGAAAACAATACTCTAATTTGTGAAGCTTGGGTAAAACCAAGTTTACCGTAGCAAGAGAAAATTCTCATTCAGATGTGAATTGAAAATCCTTGAATCTCTGACTGAGATGAATGAAAGAGGATGACATAGAGAATTTTAAGAGCAGGAAGTTCCCTTGGGAGTGCTCTTCTTTTACTTATCTATTCTATAGATGGGAAAATAGGTTTGCAGGAAGATTGAGTGCCTCGTCCAAGGCACACAACTAGACAGATCCAAAGTTGGAACTAGAATCCATGTCTTTTGATTCCAAGGCTTCCAAGGCAATGTTCTTGCTGCTGTGTTATACGGCCTGTAGGCGTCAAGATGTTACCATAAAACCTTGAACTACTGAGAACTAGCTTATACTTTAAAGTTTACAATTCTTCAACCATGCCTTTGTAATCCATACCGCTTGCAATCAATGGGCTTATAAAAAACAGGTAATACCTTAAGTTGCCAAGTGTAAAATAAATTCATTGAAATAAAACCAGGACCCTCTTGATTTTCTGACCAAGTGTTGGTGGTGTCTTAAGGTAAAGATTTCTCTTCTTTCATGTTAAAGGAAGAGAACCAAAAACTTGGAACACAAACCTTTCAAAAGCAAAGACATAGAGCATTCACAGTATGTGTTGTCATAATCTGTTTGCATTTTACCCACTGAGTGTTTTGTGGTATTTTCATGTTATGCTTGGCCTTTGGAGAAAGCAGGGGGATGGGATTTCACTGTTTTAAAATAGAAGAATTAAATATAAAGTTAAAAAAATATGAGAGTGGTAAAAACAACAGCATGAAGTTTAGTGGGTGGAATTTGACATTTAAAAAGATGATCATGTGTTTGAAATAACCTTGAATTTCTTTCTTCTTAGCCTTTTAAAGGATTTTTTTTCCAGTTATTTGCTCGGACTGGTCATGAACTTTTATACTTTTCTGGATTAAATTTGCCTTCATCTTCTGAACATGCCAACTAATCTGCTAAAGGAATGTTGGGATCAAAACAGCCAAATCCTTTAATGTTTCACTCCTTATGTGGGGGAACAGGGCGCTGTTTATGAAGGTATCTTGACATCAGGGACAGACTGAACATTTGCACCATACTTTTTCTAAATGAGCCCCAGGGAGTAAGACCCCTAAAGAGCATGATGAGAACAATGTAATCTATGTCTACAACCTTCTAAGAAGGCATCCCAGAAAGCAGGGTGAGTGTTAACTGCAAAAGCACACAGACCTTGTGGGAACTGAAACCCTCAAGGGTCCCTAGAGAATGAGATAGAAGCAGAGCCTGGAGCTATGGCCGGGAGTTAGAAGTTAGATAAGGATATGCTGCTATGCTTAGCCCTCTTCTTCAAAGGCAAACCTAGAGAAAATTGGAGCTAATGTTTGGACCAGAGCAGGTGATGCTTCATTTGCATAAGGTAAAAGCGGTTCCTTTGTTTTTTCTAATTAGGTAGGGGAAAAATACGGGATTACTTTTTTTTTTTTGAGATGGAGTCTCGCTCTCTCGCCGAGGCTGGAGTATAGTGGTGCGATCTCGGCTCACTGCAAGCTCCACCTCCTGGGTTCCCACCATTCTCCTGCCTCAGCCTCCCGAGTAGCTGGGACTACAGGCGCCCGCCACCGCGCCTGGCTAATTTTTTGTATTTTTAGTAGAGATGGGGTTTCACCGTGGTCTCGATCTCCTGACCTCGCGATCCGCCTGCCTCGGCCTCCCAAAGTGCTGGGATTGTAGGCGTGAGCCACCGTGCCCGGCCCTGGATTACTTTTAATTGGACATAGATGATTATACCATATGATCTTAACTCCTTAAATATCTGGATGAATGGAAGTATCTCAGGATAAAATACATAATCAACTGGTTGAGGTTAATGGCCTAGACATGGAGCCTGCAAGAGGACAGGCTAAGGTACCTCTATCAGTGAAAAAGATGGCCCTACATGGGCAGAAGAAATTCTCTTCAATGGGTCATTCTCAAACTTATGATTTGGTTTGCTTCATGATAGTAAATCACGGACTCCTAAACATGTGGAGGGGAGAGATTTTAAAGAATCATCCAATTCAAAAAGCCTTATTTTATAAGTCAGAAAACTGAGGGAGAGGATAATGATATAGAGCAAGTCCTCATGTGATGGCATGGATAAGTTCTTGGAAATTGCGACTTTAAGCAAAATGAAGTATAATGAAACTAATTTTACCATTTTAGTTCCTATGACATATTTCTGGTCACAAAAACAGCACCAAACTTCTAAATACAGACCAAAAACTTCTAAAGTGAAACACTGAAATAAATATGAGCTATACATACATTTAAGAAAGACTAATACAAACAAGTAAGATAATTATTTATCTGATCATTCCAGTTCATGGTTTGGGTGGCTGGAGTCCATCCTGGCAGTTCAGAACACAAGGCGGGAACTATTCCTGGACAGGACACCATCCTAACACAGGGTGCACTCACACCCACACACATTCCCTCACGCTAGGACAACTGAGACACACCAATTCACCTAACGTGCACATCTTTGGGACGTGAGGAGAAACTGGAGTGCCAGGAGAAAACCCACGCAGAAATGTGGAGAATGAGCAAACTCCACAGAGACAGTGGCCCTGGCTGGGAACTGTTTTTTTCTTCTCATCAACATTATAAGAAGATGATGTTTAAAGAAATCAGGTTAATTTAAGGACCTGCTATATTCCTTGATATTCTAGAGACTTCTTTCTTCAGCAAGTAAAGCTCAGAGGAGTTCAAGATATTGAGAAGTGTTTTACATGTATCTTCTTGTTAGATGTAATTCCACATTTTCAGGCCCCAATGTTATGGTGGGTATGTCTATTCCACATGCACAAAACATGCCCTTTATTAAAATCACAGTGCTTTAGTTTTAGTAGTGGGGTTATAGGCAATGGAATACTGCACTTCATAAGAGTGGGAATGTTCACATTGTGGAAATCTGGGGGAGAGTTTAAGACCTTGGACTTTTCAGGGACTTGATAATCTGGGAGAACAAGACATATATGGTCTATGTGAGCCAAAAGTTACTTTGGCCCCTGAGGGGTCTCCAAGTCAGGTTCAACCTATATTGCTACAATAGCCTGACTTCTCTTCTTATGAAGGCATGGATAACTCTTCTTCCTTACAATGAAAGATTCTAACCAATTCAACATGTAAGACTTACATAAAGAAAGAACCATTATTTGATTGTTCAGAACAAGACAGGTTTTGCCTAGCACCTCCAATCACCTCCAATCCAGTCTTGGGTTTTATGTTGGACAATTTAAGAATAAGCATAAGAATTTAAAATAAGAAGTGCAATTGGCCCGTCCACTGAGATATGATATGGAAACCAAAATCTTTCATTATACAATGCAGAGAAGTACTCCCCCAAATGATGGGTTGACTATATACCTTGTCTTCTAGCAACAAACAATTTAGGGTTTTTGAGGGGAACATGGAGATGGCTAGAGTCTCTGGTTTTGGTAAAAGCATATTTAATATCTGCTCACAGACAAATCCTGCCCTGATTCTGGGGACCATGCCTGTGGAGATGCACAGTTCTACAATTCAAAGTGACTATCTGAAAATACCTCCTAAAAAGGGCAAAACAAATATGGTATTTTCTCCAGCTAAGAGGGTGCTTGTTAATGTGAATGTGTGTTAGATACATTTGTAATGGTGTCCCCCTCCCCTCTTAGCCCTTCAGTGTGTGTTCTCTCTGTGTATATACACACAGGAGATGTTAAAGGATGGATGTAACTTCAGACCTCCATTTTCCCATAAGTATTGCTTTCAGAGAATATCTAATGAAGTCACATGGATGAAGATTTCTGTATCATTTGTTTCCCAGAATGCCTCTCCAACTTACATTTCATCGTCCACCCACATATCCATCTATCCATTCAACCTTCATCTACTGACTGAAAACTCTTCTCATGTAATTTTCCTCAGCAGTTTCCTCTTCTGGGGATTTTCTGCTGTTTTGCTAACCTGTTGTAATGCTGTATTTTATGTGTTCCTAAGGGCAATGCAAGTTGTTTAAAGAGGCAATTATCTCATGTGATTTATGAGATGTGCTGGACAAATTCTAATAAAAAATGTACTTGAGAAGTATGTCACAGGTTTATTGCTGGTATCAATAAAATCTCTACAGTGTGTGGCAATCCATGTTTTAAAGGAGTTAGCTTTGTGATCATAGATTATCAAATCTAATATGCCATCAATTACAGGATTTATTCCAGTTTTTGAGATGTAAAAATGTAAAAAATAAAGGTCAGCAATAATTTTATAATATCATGTATTGTAACATATACGTAGAATCAAAAGATGGTAAATGTGAAATAAAGTCCATCTAAGAATTGATTAAATAAGTTATGGCCTTAATAATTCCTTTGCAAGTTTCTCCTATACATTACTAATGGTAAAACAAGTAAACTAAATAATACTGATAGGGATAAAAAAAATAAGTTGGAGGACATTCAATAGTCATAACAGCCGACATTCATCTAGTGCCTAGTATGGATTGGGCAATGTGGCTTTTCTCACTTAGTCTTCAGATTAACACTGTGAGGAAGATTCTATTATTTCCGCTTTATAGATGAAGAAACTGAGGTCCAGGGAGGTCTATTCTTTTATTTTCTCTCTTAAAAAAAACACAAAAGAAACAACTAAAATATCTAACCCACTGAACTAGTATAAGTGGTAAGGTTACGATGACAATGGAGAGTTTGCCATATGAACCAATGTTCTTCATGACTCTGTTTTCTGTCTTTTGAGTATGGATATCCACAATTGCACATTCCCTTATGACCCCTGACTCTGTAAAGGACGTGCTCCCTTTGTGCCCCTTGAGTCAAAGAAATCAGAGTTAACTGCCTGTCAAGTCTGTGGGTTTGTGAGGCTCCTTGTCAGTTATGCTTTGTCAAGATCAGAACTTGGAGAGCAGATGCATGAGTGCTAATCAAAGACTTTTCTATTTTGCTTTCATCTGCAATCGCAGCATTTTCAGTACTGTCGACTTACTTCCCTATGACAGTAAAACAATAAAGGCAGGGGAGTATTTTTCCTTTTTAAAGTAAATTGTGGAAAAACAACAGTAACAGCCTGTGGGAACACCCCCATCACCAGCATATCTACCACTGCTCATGACCATTTGCAAGAACTGCTGAGCCTTTTCTTTTTTCAAAAAGTGCCCTTAAAAAAAATCTGATTAGGGCAAACATTTAAAGTACAGAATAATAAATACAGTGTAGGCAAAGGTGCTCTTAGTAAATGTTCAATACCATGATGCAGATTGTTTCTGTGGAAGAATCTCCTGACTAAAAGTCACATGATTGATTCAGAAACAAAAGGAATCACAAGTTTGATGTTGAAAGTAATATAGAGTCCACTGGACTAATGACCAACGCAGAGTAGGCAGAGGCTCCCAAGCAGTGGAGGGCAGGAAGCTGTGCTGGAAGAGCCTAGAAGAGAAAACCGGAACCTTCACGTTTGAATAAAACAGCCCAAGTTACACAGGCAGTAGCTTTGAATTGAGATAATTCCATCTCAATTGTTTTGCCAGCAACATCTTCCTCAAGGGCCAGCAAAGCAGGCCTATCTGAGGACACTCCCTGCTTGTTTCTCGGGTGTCCCTGAGGCTTCCACCTTCACATTCCCTGTGGCTAGTTCTGCTAGGTACAGTCAGGCAATGAAATAATTGCACCCTCTGAGACTTCATGTGTCAAGATGAAGAAAATCAATTCCTATCACCCAGGGATCTATCACTCCAGGAGACCACTAAAAACTGTTGGCTACCCTGCGGTACTAGAGTCTTTAAAGGTAATTTTTACAAGAAAAAGGACACAAATTGGGAGTCACGTGGAGCCCATTCTTTAGGAATCTATATGAAGGGCAGAGAGCAAGTAAAATAAACCAAGAGAGGAATTTTCCTCTGTGCTATCCTTTCCAGGGGCATTTACTGAAGAAACAAAGCCGGGATACACTCAAATGCCTGCTGGATGTAGAAAAACTTGCATGTGCTGAATCCATTAGAAAACTGTTCAATAACAGTCTTCCTTGTGAAAATATTAGGCTTGTAATGGTTCCAAGTTCAGCATCTCCACAGGTTATCTGTTACATAAGTGGCTGTGGCGGATGTAGGATGGCTGGACAGCATTTGCAGTTCTAATGGGCTTCTACATTTTTCAGTTGGGTAAGAATGATCTCCTAAGGGCACTGCTGGACTGCCCCCCTCAGAGCTGTACTTTAGGTCATAAAAAATGCATATCATCTTGAAATAACAACCTGAGTATTGATACTATCGTGAAGCAAACGTTTGACACAGCTCTTCAAACAGGTCACCAATTTCCATATTTTCCTCTAGTCCCACCAAGTAAGTCACACTGTGACCCAACCAGTCCCAGAAAAAGGGCACTTTATTTTGTTCAGTCCCAATAGCTTCAAAATTATGAGAAACCTGCTGTGAGAGCTGAATAAAGAAACTGGCATATATAATCAACATTTCCCAAGACAAAGAATGCCGAATGCCCAATTATTTACTTAGAGTCTCAGAACGGCCATGTAATTCTTTCCTCCTTTTCTTTGGCAAGCTCTACCAAAAGTGCAGGCAGCCTTTCCACTGATACTTAAAATTCCTTTTTAGGTTTTAATATAAGCAAATGAAACCAGGGACATGAAATAACTATTCACGCAATTAAATAAAACTCTGTTTTAGACTCAAAATGATTAGGAAGATGAGTATTGATCCAATTCTTCTGATCATTTGAAAATCCTATTCTCTTCTTTGCCAGTATAGATGTTCTTTGACTTACAATGGGGTTATGACCCGATAAACCTATCCTAAGTTGAAAATATTGTTAAGTAGAAAATACATTTAATACACTGTAGGGTATTGGTTGTTTACCCTTGTGATCATGTGGCTATTGGGAGCGTGGCTGCCATGGCCTAGCATCACAAGAGTATCATACTGTATATCACTAGCCTGGGAAATGATCAAAATTCAAACCTGACGTATGGTTTCTACTGACTGTATATCTCTTTCACACCACTGTAAAGTCGAAAAATCGTAAGCTGAACCATTTTAAGTTGGGGAGCATCTGCATAAGCAAAAAATGGCATCCTTACATCATGCCTTATTAACCACTAATCATTGTTTTCAGGACACTGTGGATGGGAACTAGGGAGTACAATGCACAAAGAACACAAAGTATAATATTTCAAAGACAGTGACTTTTACAAATTTTAATGTTGGGCCTGCTCCTTTCTCCATTTCATAAATTTGGTACAGTTGCAAATTTCTTCAGTGAGTAGTGTGAAGTACTCCAAATATTATAATGTATTGTTAGATAAAACTGCAGAAAAAAGTCTTCTTCAGCTGTATCAGTGCCTCTACAAACAATTTGCATACATTTTCTATACAAATGGGGACAAAACAGGATCTGGCCCTGAAGTGAGAGAACCTGAGTTGAAATCTAGTCTTTGCTCTTACTAGCCATTAGACCATGTGCAAGTCATGTAACTCTCTTTCTTCAGACTCCTCATCTGTGGAATGGGGATAAACACAACAAGCTCTCACAGGGTTGTTTTGAGGAATAAATTAGATAATGTACACAAAATCCAATGGCATGGTGCCTGGCACACATAGGAAACATTTTACATGTGTATATATAACATATAAAAACATGTTTTTATGTAATATATATTACACACACACACACATTAGTAGAAGTTACCACAGCACAAAATAAACTATCCCTAAGCATGACTCCTGCTAAAGAAAGACTACGGTAATAGTGTTGTCTACTTTTTGAACTTGAGATTGTCATACTTGAAAAAGCATAATCTCTTGTTGACAATGCCACAGTTTACTTCTACTGGGAAAGTTTATGAAGCCAAAGGGAATACAGTTAAATGCATGAGAAGCAATTTTCTTTGCCACAAATACAATTAAATCTATTTTAACACAGTACTATTATTTTTAAGACTGAGATTGGTATTTTGTGGTTCCAATTTTTAAAAAAGATAATTCACAGTCACATTCTCCAAAGGGAGGTAGTAATTTTTCTTTTTAACTGCAAACACTGGATTGTGATCTGTGTACACAAATTAATGTTGGGATTTCCTAATGCGAAAATTGATTGCAATGGAGAGCCATCTAGTTAGTGTGCTTATTCATCTTTAACTGAGTGAGACTGCCTTGATTAATATCTTATAAAGATTTTCCTTTTAACTTTGGGTTCAAGAAATGTATCATTGTTCCTTTTGATAAATGTTAAATGTGTTTATTGTAAAAAATTTGGAAAATACTGAAAAATTTAAAAAAATAGAAAATCGAAGCCACTTGTACTTCTCCTCTGAGTGATAACTACTATAAACATGTTGTGATATATTTCTTTTTAGTATTATTTTCTATTTCTCTTTATCTCCAAAATTCAAAGTTGGTGCTAAATTATAGGACCAGTTTTATATCATACATATTTGTTTAGTACTATATAATGAACATTTTCCCATAAAATGTCATCAATGGCTGCAGCTTCATTATCCATCATCTGTCATAGAGTATTTATTTAGGCTGTTGTAAACTTTTTTTTCATTAAAAAGAAAACAACAACAAATATCATTGGCTATATACCTTTGGATACATTTTCTATGATTTCTTATGTTTGGATTTTGATGGACTAATAATAAAAAAGTAGGAAGATTATATGGTACACAAAGGCAAGATACTTAAAAAACTCCTTCATACCTGGCCATAGCAACCTGCGTAATGAATAAGGCTTGGAAAATCCTTAGAACAACTCAGTTCTGCGATGGCTTCTGTTTCACTCACCATCCAGCGTACGCACTCCAATTGACCATTCTAGGTTTTAAAAAAGAAAGAGAGATGGAAATTCAAGGTAATTCAGGTTTGAAAAACACATTGAAGATGGTAATTTTACCAAGGAAAGAAATCATATAAATTTTGGCATTTATATCTGGCTTAACATATTTATGATATAAAGATATCACTTATTACATTCCTCATCTGTGGATTTGGCTCGAAATCAATTGCAGAATTTTTATTTAAGTTCATTTTCATAATTGTAATCAGTTATTTTAAATTCACTTTAGTAAGGTATATTTGTATACTATAAAACATAATCTTTTAAAGTATACAGTTTGATGTATTTTGACAAATATGTATACTCCTGTAACTATAACTTCAATCAAGACAAAGAACATTTCCATTACCCCTAGAAGTGTTCTAGTACTCTTTGGTTATTCTTTGGTTCTCACCCTCCTCACCTTCGTCCCAGACAACTGATAAGATTTCTGTCACAATAGATTAGTGTATGTACTCTTGTGTCTGGCTTCTTTTACATAGCAGGCCTTTGGGACTCATTCAAGCTACTGCTTGTATCAGTAATTTATTCCTTTTCTCTTGCTGAGAAGCATTTCATTGTAGAATTATACCACAATTTATTTATCCAATAACTTATCGATAGACATGTGGATTGTTTTGACTTACGGGATATTATTAATAAAGTTGCTATGAATATTTTTTGTGAATACATGCTTTTATTTCTCCTGGGTAAATAATGGAATTTCTGAGTCGTATGGTAGCTGTATATCTGACTTAATAAAAAGCCATCAAACTAGTTTCTAAAGTGATTGCCCACTTGACATCACCACCAGCATCATATGAGCATTCTAGTTGTTTCAAAACTAAGCCAACACATGGTATGGTTAGTTAATCAGTATTCTTCGATTAAGCTTCATAAGATGCACAACTGTTTTCCAATCCTCAAATAATCATATTTGTTAATGAAAAATCAGTAAACTCATATCTGAAATCAAAAATTTCATTAAGGGATGTGGTAAATATCTTAATTAGTAAAATACTAAACAATTTTAAAAAGGGAAATTATCTTTTATCATATACAAATAATATAACTATGGATTCAGAAAGTAAAATATCCTCAACTTTTACATTTTTAAGGAAACCAACCCTCTTGACCTTTAGGGTCAAGTAAAAGTAGGCAGAAAAAAAGAGTAGGATTTTCTTATAGTCATTTATGAGAATTTTTTACCCTCATAATTTTAAAAAAATTTCTCATAATTTTGACAATCTTAAACCTCTCTCAAAAAACAATCAAGTCATGTAAATAGCTACAATATAGTCCATACATATCTGCAGAAAATGTTCCCTACCACTTATAGAGCAGTATGATATATAAACCCAGATATATATCTCCTAGTGATTAAAACCCAGATTGTGATATGGATTTAAATCTTAATCTGCCACTTAGTTACAAGACCATGCACAAATTACTTTACCTCTCTGATACTCAATTTTCTTAACTGTGAAACAGTGAAATACCAGGGATAATAGTAACTACCTCACAGAGTTACCATGAAGATTAAATGAGATAAAGCGCGTAAACTTACAAAGCAGAAAATACTTGTTACCTTCTATTAAAATGCTCTCTTAGATCTCACAATAACTCTGTCAGACAAATGAAACATTCAACTGCCTTCCTAGTTTGCAGCTTGTGGGATTTTAGCCTAGGAGAAAAGAGGTATGGTTGGCAGGGAGCCAGGGGAGGCTTCACCAAGGGTAGCATTTAAATTAGTAGAATAGGATTACTTTCTCTTTATTTTAGAATTCTATCATTTAACTGCTCAAGGGTAAAAATCTATTCTAAAAGGAGGACAATGAGGTAATCTGCTCATTCTTCATTTTATTCCATTTGGATAATAGAACTCCCAACTATTCACATGCAGATTCTATTCTCTTGAGGTATTTGCCCTGGGAGGTTGGTCTGTATGAGTTGGCTCCCTGCCCCTCTGGCTGGATCTGGCTGATGGAGAGCAGTGGCAGATCAGGAAAGGAGAGTGCATCTGAGGCCCTCTCTGTGGGGTTGCCACTGGCCAACTGAGTCCCTTAAAAAGCTCAAAAGTAAGCTAGTCCTTTGTACTCAGCCCTCTCTACCTCAAGTTCTTATAACCACTCCTTTCGCTTTCCCAGTTTTGGGGAGGTAACCGTGTACTGGTTGCTAAATAAAGACCCCATGGTATTGCACTTTCCTTTACGAATTCCCCTACCCTCAACCATCCTTTTATATATAATCCATTAATTACACACTTTCCTTAAATTTCACAATTGGAACATGCCAAATGTTTCCTACCAGGATTAAAAAAAAAAAACTACTAACACACTAATACAATGTGCTCCATTCCTCTAAATGAAGAAAGGAATAGCAACCATACTGATCAGTATGGGTATCAGTAAGGTTATGTGTTTGAAGTCATGTTATTCCCAGATGGACACTTGGCTTTTTGGCTTGATCAAAAGGACTGAATGAGAAGTGAAAAGGGAATTAAGATTATTTCATTCCTAGACTGTTTAAGTCTTAAAATAACTTCTTCTTCTCTCCTGTTTTAGAAAACAGACTGCTCTCACCTTTTAGAAATATTTCTTTCCAATTACTTTACTCAATCATTTCTAAAGAAAACACAATAATACCCTGAACTCCTACAGTATCTACTTTTGGGTATCCCAGAAGTAGTCAATAAATTCCGCACGTAACCGGCAGAATTTATTATGTTCCATTCCAGGAGTTTAATAGTGAGGGAGATGTTCTTAAGCCCTGATATGACTTCAAAGCCCCTGTTCTCAGGTAATCTTTCTATTTGATACCTTATCCCTGACTCTGCTTCCTGTCAGCCAAGTCATATTATCTTAGCAGCTTCTGTCCATTTGTACCAACTTTGTTGGTACAAATGGAGCCCTCAAAACTGTGCTTAATGAGGTGAAACACCACTAGTTGGTTACTGGTGTTCAAAACAAGGTCCTAAAACAAAATGATGACTCTTTAGGACTCTTTCAATGTCATCAATGTTCATCAAAATACACTGAATGGACTGAGACAAAATATGTGTCAGGACAGATTTCTAAAGAGGGAAACACTTGTTATAAAATATTTGTATTTACTGCTTTTGTAAATTCTAGAATAAAGGAATAGAACATTCAAATCATTGTCTGGAGGTAAAGTATGAAAAGCCTGAGACCTCAAACTTGTAAAAGTTTTTGAGTCTTATGGGTTTGAAATCTTTTTGATTAAAAGGAAAAACAAAACTGCTCTTTAAGTTTGCACACTGACTGAATGATGGTGATCTTATGTTGACAGTAGGAATATAAGAATGAATTAACACTTAATATGGATATCATAGAAGGTGTTTACGCTGAAGACTGGCGTAATGACCACTAACTTTCTTATGTACCTTCTACTCAGAGATTTTTAATCTATCAAAACAAGCCCTAGGGCATATAAATTTAAAAAAATTCTTGTCATCTACCTATATAAGTAATCTACCATTAGGAAGACTAATGAGAACTGCATTTTATAAACACTAAAACAGGACGGCAAATCTTAACACTCATTGGCACTGCAAGAATATTTTATTCATCACTGACACATACTCACTGATGCCTACAGGACTCTGTCACAAGACTGTGTCCCAAATTTGCCATCCTGTACTTGTGTTACTGATAACTTAGCGGTCTTCTCCACTAGCTATTAGCTCCTTAAAAGTAGGGACCATGACTTACACAACTTTGTATTGCTAGCCACCAAACACAGTACCTGGTAAACTTGGTACACTTTGTTAAGCTCAACTATATTAAATCTTGACTTTACATTTGACTTATCTTTCTTCATGATAGCTGCCTGTAGTTTAGTTCTGTCTTTCTTAATGATAGCTGCTTGCAGTTTAGTTCTTAATTCGACATCATATCATTTACAACCAAAGGAAAATGATACCCACAAGGGTCATAGATTTATTTTGTTTAAAAATTATTTTCTACACTAGATTTGAAGTATACCTTATTAATTACTTTGCTTAACTGAGCAAAATTAAATAAAATGGAAATTATTTTTAATGTATAAACATTTGCTGAATCATCAAATTAAAAATACACAAAAATCAGGGTTGCATAAAAAATATATTCAGGTAGAACAGCAGTTGATATTTTTTTAAATGTAATGTTCTTTAGTGACATGTAGGTTTCTCTAACAAATTCCCCTCATCAATTTCAATATAACTTCATTTATAAAAATTATGATTATTCAGCTTTTAGAAGACACAACTATTATGTAAAGCAAAATACATATGCAAAAGTACAAGATGTACTATATTTCCCTGAATGTCACTTCTGGCTTTTTAATAAATACGATTGGATTCTACATTTATTTGCCAAAGATCTTTTTGGTAATTTTAGTTGAATAGCTAATCTTCTAGTGATGTACTATATTTTGCAGAGGCACTTGCTGCAGTGCTATAAAAGTCCATGTTTTCTTGTCTCACAGTTTCTAGGTTTTAACTCTATCCCAGTCAACATTAATTTGTGTAGTTTTTGACAGCACACTGTGCTCTGTAAGAGCTAAACTCAAACTCGGCACTGATACTCTAAAAAATTCTTGATACTGAAGACACTTAAACTTCAGATGTGATCCATTAAGAGCCTACTTTGTGATCTGAAATACTCCCGAGTGCTAGCATCCTTAAAAATACACCTTCCCCACATTTATCTTGCTCATTATTCAAGAAGAAATGAGAGTCTCTGATAGATCCAGGTGTGGTTAAGAAGCTAAATTGCAATCCCTATGAATAACAAAAGTTCTTAGAACCACAACATATCATTTTCCTTTCTCTTTAGTAGCAGATTGACAAAAACTGGGAATTTAGTCTCAAAATCTCAAAGCAGTGACTGAAATGATTACTCTCTTAAATGCAGTATGTTCATTTGCTCTTTGCTTGACAAATCACTCTATTCTCTCCCTTCAAACACTTTAGCTCACAAGGAATCTTAAAAAAATAGAAATCCGACTTCTAGCTGCGGAGGTTCCAGCCCCCAACCAGTCACCTTAATCGCCAGGCCTGCTGGAGTCAACTTCTCAGTGTTGCGCTCATTGAGGCAGTCCTCTCCCATCAAAGAAGTGAGGTGCTGTAGACACTCTGCATGTCCCTGTGATGCCGCAATATGTAACAGATTGTTTCCATTTTCATCGTGAATTTTGTCTAGATTGTCTGCAGCTAGGTGTGGCTGTATAAATAGTAAGATTAGAAAACCCAAGTCAATAAATCAGAGCAAGACCCTGTGGGCGTTTTACTCTGGGCACTGGAAAGAAGAAATGAGCTTATAGAAGTTCTGGTGGCAGCCTTGGGGATCTAATAAATCAGAGTATCTTGCTATTATTCTTTGTTACAATATGCTTTAGAACATGAGTTCTCAAGAGACAGATCTTCATATGAGACAAGGCAACAGGGCTAGGGCCAATGAGGTGTGGAGGCTTCAAGCTGGCTTTCTAAACAACTATAATGACATTTACAGTAATTGTCAGGTTCCTTGTCTGTCTCCCCTACTTGATTGTGAAGTCCTTGAGGGTTGGGGCTGGGTTTTATTTCCTGTTTTAGGTTTGTTGAATGAATGAGCTATTTGTTTCTACCTGCTTATTTTGCCTTGGATTGTAGAGAACTGGCTTTGGCAAACTACCTGATGACTGCTGGTATCTGGAGGCTACATGGCTTCGGTTTTCTCATCTCTAGTGAAGTTTTGTCCCTTGACTGTGAACTAGTTGATAGAGATTTTTGGGTGAACTGAGAGGTGTTGTTAGCATTTGGGAAACATGAAAACATAAGAAGGACAAAAGAAAGGAATGAACCAAAGAGAATTAGCAGGAAGAGCCAGGAAAATGGAAAAGACATTTTCAGGAGAAAATACTACTACTACTTTATTTCATAAAATTATTCAATTATATCACCCTATCACAATAGTATTTGTGATAATAGAGCAAGTATATTGTACTTAAGTATGCATGGCTTTACAGTAAGTAGAATCACATTGCCAAGATGTGATGATTTTCCTGAATGAGACTTTAATTAGCATCATAGTATGAGCCCACGCTTGCTACTGTTTGATCCAAGTCTGGAAGCCAGAAAAGAACAATGTAGGCAGATGGAGTGCTATTTAAGTTTAGCTCTCTCTGAGCCTAAGCAGAACAGACTTTTCTTACATCATGTTACTCTGTTTCTAGAGTCTTTGGAAAAGCTTCATGCTCCCTAGACATGCAGAGCTGGAAGTAAGTAAAAACTCCACCTGGGTCAGAGGGCAATGAAGCTCTTGGGTAAGCTTCTATCTACAAATGCTTTTCAAACAACCTTGTCCAACTCTTCTGAATAATGATCAGGACAAAACAGAAGACCCTCTGTTTACATATCCGGCAGGTCCACCATCAGCCAAGAATTGACATCCCCACAAATAACTGCATGAGAGCATTGGGAACCATTTGAAAAGCAAAAAGGAAGACATTAAGATTCAAGTTAAAGAAAGTGCCGGGCTCTCTTTGTTTGAGATTGAGTCTTCTTTTCAGTTGAATTCATGCAAAGTTAAAATGAAATAACACTCACTCTCTAGCCATTTGTTTTCCCTGTATTAACCTCATAACTTCTTATTTTAAAACTCAAAAGGTCACATCTCCCAACTAAAGCCACAAGTAAAGATTAAGTAAGAACCAAAACAAATGCAGCATCGTTCTGTTACTAACGAATGCAGCTGATAAAAAAGGAGTCTCCAGTCTATTGACATGTATACTGAATTAGATTATACTTACCAGGAGAGAGATCTGTCCTTCTTTAACAATGTTCAAGATGCTTTTTACTTTTTTCAGATACTCACTCCTTTCTTCTGGGCCTTGGGAGCTGGTCCAGTTCAGGCCACTGACCTGCTCTTCTGATTTGGATTCTGCTGCTGAGGATTGCAGGTGGAAGGCCCTGAGCTGGCAGTCTGGTGTTGTCTTCTCAACTTTTCGACCATGAGGATCACTAAATGTCTTGTTTAGGAAGTCTTTACTCTGGTTTTCAGGCTCATATGCAGAGCCACATTTAACCAGAGGAGGTGAGATCTCGGTTTCTTCAGTGGCCAGCTTGTGCTGGTCGCGGATGACAGATGATGCTTTTCTCAAGCGAGGGCTTTTCACAGGAGAAAGAACACAAAATGGTGCCATGTTGGATGATGAGCTCTCAGAACTTCCTGTAGAGCAGGCTTTGCCAGAAAGGCCATTGATGGTTGTGCATAAGCCCAAAATTCTTTTTTCTGAAGTCACCTTGGTAAAAGAGGCAAGCTGCTGACTGGATTTAATATAAGGCACATCCAGAATCTCATCCATGTCAAGGTCGTAGTGCTCCAGTTCGCCCAGCGATGTGCTGGGCTCAGAGCTCTTACCTGGTGGGCCACCCACTCCATCTCCAGGGCTGAGCTCCTCAGGCTGGGGGCCCAGGTCAGACTCACCCCCTTTCTGGTACTCAACCACTTTCTGGTTCTTTTGGTCATCACTTTCATTGTTCTCCAGAGTCTCTGGCTGATGTTTCAGTGGCGAAACCCGCTTCACTGGGCGGAACTTACTGTACACATCAGCGATTCCTGTGGGCTTTTGCGTGTTTGTAATGAGAGTTGAGATGCCACAATTCCAGCTAGAGCTAGAAACTGTTTTCAAAAAATTAAAATAGGAAGCTATTAATTTGGAATGCTGAACACATCTTGGCTATGCAGGTAGATGTGGTTCATTCACGCTATGTTCAAATTAAGGCTCTGTGCATAAGGATGACTTACAGAGAGTGCATATCGATAGAACAAAAAAAAATCAAACTTACCATTGGAAAACAACGAATAATCAAAGAAAGTTATAACATATTGACTCAAAATTAATTAAAGTAATAATAATGGTAATGGTAAACAGCTAAGGAAGCAACCCCAGATAGGTATTTAGGTTTATTCCCTGGATAGATCTACCTCCCTGGCAATATTTATATATTTGTCATCACCCTGAAAAACAAGATTAGAGAATAAGATTTTCAGTGTTAAATAAATTTCCAAACTACAGAGCTTGCAGTGAGTTGAGATCGCGCCACTGCACTCCAGCCTGAGTGACAGAGCGAGACTCCGTTTCAAAAAAACAAAACAAAACAAAACAAAAACAAACTTCCAAACTAATTTAGGGAGAAAAGGGATGTATGCTGTATGCACACAAGCACACACATTAGCGTGCATGTCCACATACACCCCTAATGCATAAGAAGTCCCATGTAAAGAAGGGGCATATTATTTAATATTGAGCAAATGCAAACTATGATCTGCTGAGTGACTCCCTAGGTGTGCCATTAAGTGGATTAGGGAAAGAATAGGAAGGAATGCAGTGCTCAGGAGCTGAAAGGCCTGTGGGAGACAAGACATAGTTGAGTTAACCCCACCTTGGTCAAAGTACCTGGTCAACTATCATGCAGCAGCATTTCATGGTGCTTTCTGACATATGACACAGTGACAGAATGCACTAACACTTCACAACAGAACATGTTCTTTAAGATTCAATACTGCCCTCCATTGTTGAGAAGGCTGGAAATAAACAGGATAAGAAAGTTCTGAAAAGAAGATGGGTTAGGCAGACTGGTTATTTTTTCTAATTTCTGTGCAAAGTTTGGATAAAGGTTGTGTGTTGGTTTGCATTTGAGTAAGTGTCTGGTTGTGATAGAGTAGAAAGTGAAACAGCCAGACACACCTGGAGGTGAAAGATAAGAACCATCTCTCCTAGTTATGAGAGGCTGCCTGGTGCCTTCTCTTGGGGCAAGCAGATGGAGCAACAACAGTCTCCTCAGCCATGATTATACTGCTTCCTCCCGTGCCACTCCCGTGCTAGATAAAAGATGACCCAGTACCCTTGGAAACTTGTAGGTCGCTGATTTATGGGTTCCTAGTTCCCTGCCACATAGTTCCTATCATCCCCCATCAAAGGATGAGATTTCAGGGGGCATGCCCTACAGCTAGGGACCTTCCATTTACCTCTTCTCTTCTGAAACAACAAGTGAAAAGCGTGTGTATGTGTGTGTTCTTTGCTACTGGGAACAACCAAAGGAAAAAAGAACATAAGATGGGTGTATATTCACATCTGTAACTTCTGCAATAGCCCTTGGCTGTGACTGACTCTTAGGGTGAAAGTGGAACATACATTATTAAAGTTCCCTAAATTTAAGCTACTGGTCATTCTTCTTCCTGCTGGGGTATGTTCTAAAAGGATTCAGAGAAGTTCTTGAATGAAGCTAAGGGGATGAGAGTGAGTGCTCTGAACCTGAATGCTATATAACTATCTGTGAGTTCTTTCCCTGAAACTGACCACAACTTTGCATGAGGTTTGCAAGGGTCTGCACTGTGCAGTCCACTTCTCAGACCTTTCTGGCTCTGACTTTTTAGAATCGAAGAAGAGAATACTATGAGCTGTGGAAGGAGGGCTGGATTCTCTCCAATAAGTAATGTAGAAGAGAATGTTCCAGAAGGGAAGGAAGGTATCTAGATGGTCTTAGGCTGCTGCTTTTTTCCCCTTTTGTTGGCTCTAGTTCTTAGTTGTACACAGTGCTTGGCATAGATCAGACAATTAACAAATGCTAGTATGTGAATTTGAATCTCACTTTGCATAACACATTAAATCTTCTAAAATGTACAAAGTGCATCCTTCTGAGGGATTTACAGTTTAATTTCACAGGGGACAAAATCCTGTTAATAAACTCAGTGGAGTGATAATCATCAGTAAGAGCTCAATTTGCTAAAGTTATTTATGAAATGTAAATATGCAAAGGCAAAGACTAATTCCAGTTGGTCTCTTATAAATATAAAAGTTTTCTATCTTTTATGTGACCCTTTCTCTCTAAAAATATAAAGCCATGAAAAATTAATGTCTGCCAGAAATTTCTGCCAAGCCTTTCTCTCTTCAAGAACACATGGTTACTTATTTAATTAAAACAGCAGAGATAGTGGACATAGAGTTTATAAGATGTAAATATGCCTTTAATTTTATTCATCAACTTTCTGCAAGACTTTAAATAAAATGGAAAAAAATGTATATATATACTCATAGACATTTCTGAGATACACTCTTATTATTGAATATATTTGGTAATATTTTGCCAATTACCTTGATTTCTTTGGAACCTCTAGAAAATATGCATCTCAGAAGGTAATAAAAAAATTTAAAGCCACATAACTTAGTAGGTCAATACAACGAGTGCATTGTACCAATATATTTATGTGTTATATAAGGTCGTAGGTTCAAAGGGCTACTCTTTTATGTTGGCTTTATTTACATGTGAAATTTTTTCCAAGTGATACAGGGAAATGGATACCATATGTTTCCCAGCTGTTTTGTTCTGACAGGAGCCATTAAAAATGCTCTATGGAAATGAATTCTGTCTGGGTCTTACGAAAACACATCTTTTCACAGAAGGATCTAGAAACTGAAGAAGGAGTGCCAACATTTTGGTTTGTTGTCCCTCTCCTTCTTCAAACCTATGACTCTTTCTGAGGCTGTGAGTGAGATCTGTGTTTTCTCGTCTATGTTTTGATTGCCAAGAAAAGACATCCCAGTAATGAAAAATGGATTATTTCACAGGTTTTCATTAAAAGGCTCCAATTTATTGCTATATCATAAACCTGGATGGGAAGAAGGGCAACTTTGTGCTACAAACAAAAGACAAAATTCAATTCCTTTATCGCTGCTAAGCTGTGTAATCATGTACTTTAAGAACAACACAGAAGAGGGGCTATTAATGACTAGTAAGATTTTCACTTGCAATTATTTAAATTTATCAAAAATTTCACTCATACTTTTATTTCATTGCAATGCAATAATACATTTCTTATCATACATGGAAACAAGGTTTAGACTTATTTTGTTACTAGAAAAATTTTGAGGCTAATTTTGCTTTTTGGAAATTATGAATAAATTCTTTACATGTTAGCAAAATTTAAATCTCCCCAAATTTTATCCATTTTAGATTTGTACAAGCTCCATGAGAGCAGAGCCTGTGTCTAATTTATCTCTCTATCCCTTAAAGAACCCAGAAAAATTGCTTTACATAAGTAGATTCATAATGACTTTTTGGTTGAATGGGCTCATTTTCAACATCTTACAGAAGTAAACATGCCTAATAAGCCTTAAACCTGTCTATCTGATTACACCACAGATTTTCTAAAATGGTCAGTAAGTAAACAGACATGTATTTGCTGCTGATGTATAGGCCACAATTATCTCTTCAGTCTAGCTGACACTTGGAATGCCACTGAGCTTTAGTAAAGTATTTGCCTGCTGACTGTCCACACCCATCTATTGATTGAACAAACATGTAATGCAGTCTTAGAATGTGCAAGGATTCCTGATAGGTGGCCTGTTCCGATCCAAGTGCCTCATCTCTCTCCACCCTTTCCCACTCCCTCCCCTTCCCCTTTTCCCCCAATACATCCAGATGCTACTCCCCTTCCCAAAACATATTCCTTGTGATCGTGGCCTACATGGTGACAAGAACACTTATGCAGTCTTCCAAGCACTCTATCTCCAAGGCATCCTTGACTCTTCTCTTTCCTTGACCCCTGCCCTTCATCACTCAGGCACCAAGTCCTGCTGTGTCCTTATCCTTAATCCCTCTGAAATCTGGGCCCTCTTCTTCATCATCACTAAACTGACTGGACCACACTGGGATCCTCTCCCACAGTCTCTGTAAGTTTTTCCTGGCTTCCCCTGTTCTCTTTTTTTCAGTCCTGAGTGATCCTTCTTCAGTAAGTCTGACTTTGTCACCCGAAATCCACTCAAATATTTCAGGTAGCCCTGCACTAAACAATATTTCCCCATATGTGGGTGCATATCCCTGCAATACCTAAGAGGCGCACAGGAACCATGGTAATACCCCTGATTTACCGAGTGAGAATGCTATTGGCCTTCCAAATTCTCTTTCTTCTTACTAATTAATTTAAGGAGACTCATTTTGGTGCTAGAATGAATTTAACTCCTTTCCAAAACTTACAATTCCCTATTCGAAAAATGAGACCACAGGCTTCAGGCTCAGAGATGTTCATAAGCAAATAATTAAAGGAATGTTTCATGTTCAATTTATCACATTCATTTTAATGATGACCTTGAATTTATTGCAAGTGACCATGGCTTTCTATTTACAACCATAGTGACATGAAGTTTCTTTTAAAAACAAATATATCTGAATGTCAGGTGTTTTAGAAAAATATATTAAATAAACAGTACAGATGCAATACAGGTAAAGCAAAAATAACAGAGGTAGACTTGGGATATAACGCATGTTGTGGAAATGATACTTAAATTACTAGTTTTGTGAAACCTTGGCTTCCAGGATAATAGCTAAATTCTTTAGCATGGTATGTAGCAGCTCTTGTATTTGTTTTCTAATTTACCTTATCATCTCAGCACTCATGATTCCCAAATCACTAATTTTTCCCTGCAGCTCCACTGCTAAATTCATCCTTTCTGGATATACCACACTCTCCCTGCGTTTAAGCTTATTCCTACTTTCCTATAATGCTCTTGGCTGTCTTCTCTGCCTGAGACTGAGGCTCATCTCACAAGATTCCACTCAGGGGTTATTTCCTTTGTGCAGTTCCTGTGACTCTCCTAGGGAATAATTGCTCCTCGATTC